TGCTGCCTAGAAAGTGTGAAAACAAACTCTCAAACACCACTCTAAGCACAGCATTCAAGAAGTTGTGTAATAGAGCGCAAACAAGAAGAGCGAAACAGACCCAGTGACCATGAGGACACTTCAGGGTGACGAGGATGACACGCTGACGATTGCTGCATGAATTGCAGCCCTGTGGGTGAATCATCCAGCAAACACGACATGCTAATCACAATAGAACCGAGCACACAGTGCCAAGACCACGTACGATTGGTCATACCTCCTCTAACAAGAACTGATTTCGCTCTTCTTCTTAATAACAATGAAATAACTATAAGCGGAAAAAATGAGGATAAATACGAGAGCATTAATGCGATATTACCCTTATTTTTCAAGTTATTTTTATCGGATAACTGCCGTTTCACGTCGCAGTTCGCATTGCGAACGTTAAGACCGGAATGCTGAGTTATGAGCAAAACTTTCGCGCCCCGGCCTTAAAGGCAAGAGATCAGGGTACGAATCTCGCCTGGGTCGAGAGTTCTGCCCACAACTCAGCATTCTTGAGATAACTAATGAGATATTTCTGAATTTGATTTCCATCAAAATGATCAAGCATAATTTCGGGGCTGATTTGTCTTGCTTTGAGGGTATTCTAGAGAAAACCCGATTAAGACATTTCGGCCAAAACTGCTCAGAAAAAAGCGGGAGTTTGGAAATCAAAAACATACTTGAAAACTACCGCAGAAATATACCAGCAAAACACTGTCCAGCTAGGAATATGATGAGAGGGAGCAAGAGGAAATCCATATTGCTCTCAATCTCTAGGAAAATTTCCGTAAATCGAGAGCTCAAAAATCAAGAAAGCACTCCACTGAGGCAAATATAATAATATTTCTGATACCAGTTGCACAGTACTTGGCAAGAATTGAGACGAAGTAATTGGTACATCATGGGGCTATTGATCAGGCACTACAGCAACATGAATAGTTTCCATGCAGGTTTTTCCAGTTCCAAGCATTCGTAGCAATCTCCAGAAACTTCCCCACATCCTCGTTCATTTCAAGTGTGTTCATCATAGGAATTCAAGGAAACACGATTTTGAATTCCTTGAAAATAAAAGGGTGGAAACATCCTGGAAAGGAAGGAGGGAATTGCAGAGCGCACAGCGTTTTGTGAGACGAATTTGCGCTAATTGCAGCCTTACCACTTCTGGCTTCCACCTTAATGTTTAGGCAATTCCAGTATGAAAGGTAATCTAAGTTTTGCGAACTTCTTGCCACCACCGTATGCCGAAATATTTCGTAGCTTATTCGCATTTGACTCGCAATCATCTAACGCTCAAGAGTTCGCAGCGGACTACGCCGTCGGTCTCTAAAGAAACGGATCACTCAAAATTTAAAGGCAGAGGGTAAGATAAATTGGTCGTTCGTTGGGAATGAGTGGAGTTGCTAAAAGGTGCAGCACTGAACATAAACAAGATGGGATAGCCCAAAAACAGAGCCCTTGCCGCGTATGATACTCCCACTAGTGCCGACTCATCGATGTGAACACTCTGCCTCTTCGTTAAAACGCCGTGGAGTTTGAGTCTGGGCGAGTATAGCCGACGTAGCTAATCGTGGCGGGGACAAGCCGAAAATAGGAACCACTCTCGCGGGTAAGACCTTGTTAGACCGCTATGGCCGTACTCTCATGGCAAAGCGCGCCTCGTCCCGCTTTCGTATGGACACTGCCTGCCCTCAATGGCAAGAATATTTCAATTTCTTCGACTCCAATTTATCTTACCAGCGAACAGTGGATAACATAGCGCTTGCATTTGGCACAAACGTTTGTGGCAAAAAACAAGTGCATCGAACTAATCAGTGAAGTTCTCTTCGTCATTATTTAGGACCCTGACTTCATTTCCCAGAAAAATACTAGTACGAAAATGTCTGAATTCAAAAAAAAAAAAATTAAGCCCGTTTGCAAGGCTCCCATTATTCTCAATTTCGACATAAATATGGTTGAAAATTGAGCGAAAAAGGTAGGATTACGTGGAGCAAGGATTGATGAGAACGATGGTTTCTGAAGAACTTCCGTTTTAGCAGCTTTCTTTCTTCATGTGAATCAAAAAATAGCAGCTGTCTATATGCCGATTTCTGCCGCCTGGCTATTATAACCTTCCAAGCGCTATGTACGAGGATATTTTCAATAATGAAGAAAATGGCAATGGGTTTGTAGAGCGGAAAATCCGGTTAAATGGCATGAATGCGGTTTTTCGGGTGGTACTTGCACGATTACAATCTAACACAATTTATACGCCGAGACGCTCAAAAACTACAATATTGTCCCAAGCGAATACAAGACAACTGGGGATAACGACAGTATTCATCGTATTCCACCCGATCAGCACATACAGTAGCGGTCAAAAGTGTTCGCCGAAACGGTTTTTCGTGCTTCCTTTCTTTTGCCACAAAAAATAAGGGTGATTTCCAAAACTTTCTTTCGGGTTTTTGAATTCTTTGTGACTCGAGGATATAAAAACACTATAGAAAACATAGGATATCATTGGAGCGCATTGCTTAAATGAGAAAAAATAATGCACGAAAAATGATTTCGGCGAACACTTTTGACCGCTACTGTATGTTCGGCCTAACTACCAACGTCATATACGAGACTTCCATTTGAACATTGGTATGGAAGTCGATCTGCGAGCGATGGTAGATTTAACCTGCCCGCAACTGGAGAAGATCTCACGAGCCGCGCAAGTGACTCGATGCACGCAGCCACTGCACTAAATTTTCCTCCTTGAGAAGGGTGTCAATTTTTCCACACAGAAACATGTTCCAACAAAGAAGTGAGAAATGATACTTTCCAGAAAAAAAAAGAGAACATTTCACCATCACACAACCGTGAACAGGTCTTCTTTCAGAAAAAAAAAACAATAAAACATGCTGATAAAGAACTCAGCCATCAGAATGGTCTCAAATGGATTTTAGCGCTGTCAAAGAGAATTCCGCTTCGGAACGCCTCTGTTAACGATCCAAGTTCAACAACACCACATAAAATGCATGAATCACAACGCCAATTAGTCAAGCAAGTCACCAAAATAATACACAAATACCATTGTTGCGCCTCATGACGCAGCCACTTCACACAAACTACAAATCAACGGACGTATCATGCAGTTTTTCCGAAGAAAAAAGATTCTCCAACAAAAAAGTCGTACTTGTGAAAATCAATAACAAAAAAGGAAAAAAACCATACCTGGCCGCGTTCATCGCGTGCGACAGCGTGCTATAGTCGGAATGACGAAGCTCATCAATATCTCGAGGCTGAAAACTTGAAATATTTCGTTCGGAGAATGGTGAAAGTGTCCCAAATTCAATCGGGACATAAAAATGTTTGCTGGAGAATAGAAGATCGGGATTTTATCGATATTTGACCAATTTTACCGAGATATTGTAACGTAATAAAGAAAAGGAGAAAATTACAAATACTGACTGAATGAAAATAACTAATAGAGAGGAGAAAAATCGAGGGCGGAGGTGGTATAATGACACTGTCCCCCATCACGCAAGGGTCACTTTCCGGCTGTCATATTGCCCGAACCTTCATGCTTCCAGGATCGGTTGATGGTTTGAGACTATTGGGTTGATGCATAATTATTGCGAATTTTTTCAACAAATTTTGTTCAGCGGGAACATAAAAATATTAACCAAAACATGTTTAAGTGATTGTTCCTAGGCGTGTTCACCATCCTTCGAAATGCTTCCCATTTGCTTGGCAGTCAGGTCGATTCTACGATTGAAGAAGTCACGATTCTTGGAGACGATCCACGCTCTAACATCGGCCACCAAGTCATTCAGCTCGTCGTAAATTTTGTTCGTTTGCCAGTTTTTCAACGACTGATTAGTTGCTAATCCATCGGAGCTTCTGTCGGTCTTTTGCACCTCTTGGATCAGCTTTCAACCTGACTTTTGCCTATTGTTCCCTCGTCGAAAAGTTCGATGAGATCGTGAAATGACTGTGCCGCTTTCCTACCTTTCTCGATATTGTAGAGCATATATGGCGGATATGAAGATGATTTTCCATAAGCATTTCTGTCAGTGAAAGAGAGAGGAATATTTGCAAGAAAAAATAATAAACAAAACGCCAATCTTTTCGTAACAGAAGGCGCGAAAAAAATCCGCAATAATTACGCATCAACCCAATATTTAGGGAAGACAGGAACACTGAACAGTCCTGCATGGCGTAGTACTGTATTGTCAGTCAGCATTTACCTCAATCAAAATATCACACGAGCCTGAGCTGAAGTTAGAATGCGTGAAGTAGAAAAAGTAGAAGTAGAAAAGTAGAAAAAGTAGAAAAAGTCTAGCCTACGTCGAACATTTTATATTTTTTGGTAATTTAGAGGGAAAACTCCAAAAAAAATTCTTATCGCAATTGAATTCCAACGGGCCATAAAGCAAGGCCATGGGAAAAACAAACTATCGCCAGTCACATAAAGGCACGAGAACGTTGAAAACGCTGAAAACTCCTATTCAGGGTGTAGCAAATCCCACCACATTCAATCTCCAAAACAGAAATAGTACAGCAAATCAGAGCAAAACGCTCTGGTTGTCTGAGGTATACAACAGAACCCTTCGGCGTAAATCTTTTACTTTTTGCTGGATAAAAAATTGATCTTAAAGCATGTATGTCGTGAAAGAAACGTCCTTCCCATAAAGGAAGGATTCCCACTTCATTTGCAACGACTGACATTATTCGTAAAGCTTACAGAGCACAACGCTCAAGGCGAAAATTGAGAAATGGAACCTGAGTCAGTCAATAATAAGTTGAGACAAAGAGAAGTCACATTCATCCCCACCTTACCCCCCT